ACTATAGTCATGTGACGCTGGTGTACAACCACTGTTAATGGTTAGCTTCTGCAGCGACACACTTCACACATATTGTACCAGCGTATACAAATTAAGTGTAGCTTCTAGCTGTCACCCTGGTAGCCCGGGGTGTGGCAGTGTCAATCTCTGTACCACCATCTGGATGTCACGGCAGAAATCAAGACTCATCAGACCGGATAACGTTTTTCCAATCTTCATCTGCACAGTTTTGGTGGACCTGTACACATTTTTGTTTGGTTTACTATTCTTAGCAGACAGAAGCACCCGGCACCCGGTCTGGTCTTCTGCTGCTGTAGCACATCTGCTTCAAGGTTCATATGTTGTGCGTTCAGAAATGCTCTGTTGAATACCTTGGTTGTAATGATTGGATATTCGAGACACTGTTGCCTTTCTATCATCTCAAACCTGGCCGTTGAGCCGAGAGTGGCCGCTCAGTGGAAACATTCTCTTTTTGGTTGATGGTTGTGGGGGAATATTCAAATAGATCAGCACTTTATGATAAACTCAAACCAGCCCGCCTGACAACCACAACCGTGCAAATTTATAAGTCACTCAACTCATCCTTGTTCCTTATTCTGAAGCTTGGTTTGTACTTCGTCAGACTGTACAATGTTTACATGCCTGAATGCATTAGGTTGCTGCCACGTGATATTCTTTGAATATACACATAATACCCCAGGGACACAAGTATTTAGACCCGTAACACTTCAAATTGACTGTCCAAACAGTTGCTTCAAAATGTCAGACGATCATTAATTTACAGAGACGTCTGTAAAAATAGAAGTCCACCTACGGAAAAGTGTTTACTAGGATTTTAAAGCACGTACACCTTTTAATATGAGGTTGCACACTTGCACTTCAGAGCAAAATCCAAGCCAAAATTGTCCAAGATAATCTCAATAGACTTTACAGATTTGTGGTAAAGCATAGATCTGGGGAAGGTGAAAAAACATTGCTATAGCCTTGTAAGTTCCCAGGAGCACATAGGACTTTGTCATGTGAATTTAAAGTGTTTTCGAACCACCAACACTCGTTTTAGAGCTGTAGCCGGACAAGAGGGGCCTTGGTTAGCGACGTGACAAAGAACAGTTTTTCTGCAGAAATGGAAACTGACAAAAAGACAACCAGCACTCTTGATCGCTGATTAGCTAGAAGTTAAAAGTCCAAGAAGAAAATTATTCTCTGGTCAAATGATCAAACTATTAGGTTTGAATATCAAGCACTAGGCCAAGCAAAAACAAGGCTGTCTAATAACATCCTAACAGTAAAGCGTGGTGGTGGCAGTATCATTCTATGGAAATTCTCCAGTTGCAGGGGCTGAGAGACTGGAAAGGATTAAATGAATTATGTTATGAGCAAGGAAGTTGGCCCAGAGCACATCCAGTGGTGGAGTGGCTTTGTGAAACCTTGTGTGTGCCAGCCAAAGCCCAGACTTGAGCCTGAATAAACATCTGTGGAAAGACCTGAAGATAACTGATTACTGACACTTCCCATCCAATCCAACAAAGCTTGAGAGGATCTACAAGGACAAATAGGAGATACTGCCTCAACTTAGGTCAGCAAAACTGGTAGAGGCATAGCCAAGAAGACTTGAAGTTGTGATTTCTGCAAAAAAGACCAATCAACCTATAAGACCCCTTTAATTAGAGGGTCTTTGTTAAATATGAATATTACTTACTGGCTGATGTTGAATATGGTATAGTCTAATGGTACATTATGTATATTTATATAGTGTGTATTCATATAGATTTCAGTCCAAATCTGTGCCAAACATGGTGTTTGGAAAAACAATCATTATTAACTAAAGCTGACGCATAACAGACATGTGGCTGGAAATCCCCATGAACGAAGCAAATTGGCCAGCATCACCCTGTCGTGAGCCCAATAACGAGGGAGGTGCCATTTGGGTATGAAGATTCATGTGCAATTTGAAAGAGGTGGAGTTGCTATCTTCACTGTCTCGTTTAAAGTCGGCTTCCATCCGTTAGCAATTTGACGTTCTGGCTTGAATCTTCAATTGGAAAATAACTTCGCAGTACCAGTTTGAGGTGTATTTAAACCACCTTCTACCAAAGAGTTGGGCTTAATGCACTTACTGACTTAACATCATCCTTTATAACATCATAGGTAGTAATCCAGTAAGATTCTACGTTTCCAATAGGCCACATGGACCCAGACTGCATTAAAGTGAATTACACAGGAGTTTACTCACTGCCTTGTTTCCTGTTGTGGGGTCTTTGACGTAGTGTGCAGAGTTCTGGTTCTGGTTCTGACTGTCTTCATTGACCACTCCTTTGCTGATGGGATCCTGTTGTTCCTTGGACCCCACACAGCCCATGGTGAAAGAACCTAGGAGTTTAAATATAGATCAGGTCACAAACTTCAGACTGACTACACAAGGTGCGAAGTGGAACAATTGTACATAACAGTGCTTAGTCAATGTATAATGAAGAGTTGAGTGTAAACTCTTAAGTGTGACTGTTGACGGAGACGTTTCCCGTTCGGAGCCTGTCTCTAAATATGAGAGAACCATCTTTTCATGGCTTTTCAGTGTTCACATTAACATATGCGTTTCACTAGTAATAGAGTAAGTGTGAAAAAAGAGGGAGAAAGTGAAGAAGAACAACAGGCCTTCTACACTCTATACGCCATTACGCAGTTACAGTCAAATGACTTCAGCACGACTAAGCTTAAGCATAGACTACTGAGTGCCTCGGGCCTTAACACCTTATAAGACACTTTCAAAATGCTACATCTTAAACTGATAAAGCAACGAATTTACCAGAGAAAGTGTTATAGCATTATAGGCATCCGAATGGGGACATTCTAGAAGACAAATTGACTGACTGAAGTTACTGAATTCGTCCTAAAAGATGTGCAGCAGTTCTGCCGCTGGATGACATCACGTCATATCAATACACAAAGGCAGTATCCATTGAACGTGACAATAAGATCAACATTTTTGTTTGTGTAAATAGTCACTTCTCGTTTTCATTGAAATTGTGTTCCTCTTTGTTTGTATTGTTAGCTGTCACAGCAGGATCAGTGTTTTTTAAAGGGGAACAACAGCATATTTCGAAAGTGACAATGTGCCTGAAACTGTTTGACCTAGAGTTGAGCTATTTGTGAACGTCTGCTATACCTTGCCTTCTCACACATACTGGTAGACCAACAGTTATACACTCTTCCCCACTCACTGCAATCTTACGTACAACTTAGTTCACCGAAATTAATTAGCGCAAATTAATCAGCATTCTATCACAGTAAACATAACATAATCAGTCCATTTCAATCCATAAAGTATAGTCGATAAGAAAACATATGCATATTACGGAGTACGTCAGGTCAACACAACGTTATGCTTTTATTCTGGGAACTCATGCTGGATAGAATAGCTTTAACAGATAGAATTTGCTATATCCTTCTCTGTAGCCTAAACCAATATGAAATCTGTGCACAACAAGCTCAATTGTCACTGAAGAAATAAGTAACAATTTCAAATCAACAAGACAGACATTTTTTAAATGTACACAATAAAAAAGTTATAAAGAGTTAGTAAATTGTTCATTGCAAAAGTGTTTTCTAATGATCATTAGAAATTATGTAATGAAATGAGCCTTTCAAAATTATAAACTTAGAATGGGCAACACAACCGGCCATTGAAACACTGGACTGATGGTTGCTGTTAATGGGCCTCTGTACGCCTATGTAGATATTCCATTGAAAAAATTAGTTTTCAGCTACAATAGTCATTTACAACATTAACTATGTCTACACGGCATTTCTGATCAATTTGTTGTTATTTTATTGTGACCCAAAATGTATTAATGGAGAGAAAAATACATGTCCACAACAGTAAACATTTCTACAATATTACTCTGTTTAGCAAAAATTGTTACACATTTCTTTATGGCTCTACCAACGACAGAAGAGAAAGAAAAAGTTTCAATGTTTCTGAAATGATAAAAAACATAAAATTACATCAGCCCTATTAACTGATCTGGAGAACAAATCCTTTTAAATCGTCAGCTTTACTTAAATGACCGTGCCGATATGCAGATATTAAAACAAGTGTTTTAAATAGATTAATTATGGATTCCTGTTCATTGTATTCTGCTGTAAATAAAGCAATACAGTTTGTTCCTATTTCATCCACTAGAAGCAGCAGAACAAAAACTACAACAATGAAAAAGTAGGAAGTACTTTATATTTTAAATTGGGATTGTAAAATATAATTACATTTTTGTGTATATGCAAACAAAAATCAGTGCACAAAATTACGTCCTCATTGCAGTCATACCGCAAGACCAAGAAATTCTGCCATTCTAGGAGATACAAGAATACAAGATACTTTCAATTCGCTATGTATCTATGGTCAGGACGAAATGGCAATAATGTGTGCCAACTGCCTTTTCCCTGTTTTCTCTCTGCAGACATGATTGAGCATGTCTGGTAAGGTAAGATGTCTGGCAAATGTGTAAAGGGGCTCAATAACATCCATCTATATATAGTCATATTATATGTGGGAGCGATGGCTTATAGAGCCACTATGCTCACGTGACATGATCATTCTGTTAAATATAGTTTTCACGTGAAATCACGGCATGTGGGAAAACCCCATCTGGCGGGCAAAACAAAGTCTTCTTCCATTGCCACCATTGATCGACAACTTATTTTTATTCAAATTGGGAACACACTCGTCTTTGTAGCAAAAATTTAATTGGAGGTTAGTTATCAAATATCCACATATTAGTGTAAATATAATATTAGCAATCATTCTATCTTTGTAAGAATTTTAATGAATGGCATGGTTAATTTTTGTTTGCACCAACACCAATAGTTCAGGGGTGGCCAACTAGTCAGAGACTAAGAGACACATTTTCTACTGTGTTACCGCTAAGAGCCACATCATACACATGGGCAAAAATAAAATTCAGAAAATAAAAGCTTAAAAACTATTTCAAAAGACACATTGTGGCATCTGGTGGGGGGAATCGAACCAGCAACCTACAGCTCCGCAGGCTGAGCGGACTAACCACAGTTCCAAACACAGATATCCCAATCGAAGAGCGGAGTAGTAATTACAGCGCCGTCGTTTTATTTCTGTTCGTTGTTACGTGTTAGGTGTAAATGGTATTTAAAATAAACACCACAGACATATAAACTGGCTCTGCAAATGGCTTTTGACTGCACTGCACCCCTAGTTTGTGACACATGCGTGTTTGACGAAAATTCCTTTATTGAATTCAAGCGAAGCGAACACGGACATTAAAAAAACACAAACTTCTATATGAACGTAAGAGCCGCATTAAAACCCGACAAAGAGCCTCTGGTTGGCCAGGCCTGGTCTAGTTTATCATATTGAGTTAGTTAAATTAAGAAGAAGGAAGTTATATGGTGTAGTTCGTCTCACATCCGATAAAACATTGATATTACCAGAACATTTATGTCACAATATTCTGTGTTATACTGGCTGCACTCAGCTACACTGACCACCCATTAAACAGTAATTTAGGTGAATTAGCACTCACTTTCGCTTTGACAATGAGGAATTTCTTGCCTTTCACCTCTCAAACAACTGGATTATTGACCCACCCTGATCGAAAGTGCAGATAGCTGTCTGTACTTTTATATGCCTTCATTTTTGGTAGCAGTGTAAGGGGATGGATTCTCAATAAGATATATATATATACACGTCCCCAATGCCAGCTCCGGCAAGGATGTCTATGTTTTTAAAGGTGTAAATTCAGCGGGTGCCGTATATGGGTCACACCACACGTGTCTTATATTTGCAGTTTGTTAGCACACCTTTGTTGTTCGTTTTTTGTAGGGTAATTTACATAATTATGGGCTTGAAAAGTAGAAAATGTTACCGGCTTATGCGTAGGGCCATTGAATTGTCAGTGCTAGCTGCAATGTTGTGCCCGCCAGGCTGTCAGAGTAACCACGTGACTAAAGCTATGAATTTACCCAGTAGCTACATGTCTTCTTGATCTCTAACCACTAACTACCGGTCCAGGATTTTGGCAACATCATTTGCAGGATTGTGGTAATACTGTTCCAGATTAGTTATGTAAAAAAATATTTTCTAAATTGTTTTATTTTCCTCCCTCAGCAGTATTTGGAATTAAGACGTGTCCCTTATGCAACTACGCACATCTCACCAAGCTATTCTGCTTTCTTCACAGTACTGGCTAGAACAGGAAGTCTCCTCCAGAACCTTTGCACATGATTGACAGAGCATTCTCCGGTGTAGAACCATAATTGAGCTCCAGACACCTAACCGATTTTGTCTGTCTGATTTCCAACCTACCTACCCCAGACAGAGCTGACCCAATAAGCACAACCCTGTACGTCACTTCTGGGCGTTTTTGGTATGTCACAATCAGGGTTTGAGCTCCTGACCACAATAACTACCACACAAAACTTACATCACTGCAACATCTGGGAGGCCCCATCATTACACATTGAAATCTCCCAATCACTCACACTTTACCATCTTTATATATAAATACATGTACATCTCCATCCATCTATATTTCAGTCACTTGATCAAATCAGACCATAATAACCCTGTCCATCCTTTCTGTCTCTGCTCACGCATAATACCCACAGATGCAAATCTTGTGAGCTATGACATGCCAGTGCAATTTGGGCCCTGCTGCTATCATCTTAACTGCCACAGCAGGCAGGTTGTCACGAGTGGTGAGCACTAGGTTTCCGCTCAGTGTATTTAGTGGGGTGCACTTCCTCATTTCTAGTTACACCTAACGTCGGCTGGGGCTAGCAAAGGAGCCTACCAGGGCAAGCTACATCTGGTTTGCGTTCTCCCAATGGACTGAGCACTGGAGCACCCCTAAAGCACAGAGAGGCCGCGGAGGAATACCTACACGCTGGACCCAGCCAGCAGGTGGCTTCAAACTACCATCAACGCCCGGAACCAACACCTAGACGCCAGGTGGATCCATCTGTTCAGCGCCACCCAGGTCCCTGGAGCCCTTACTGACACCACCCAGTGCTCCTAGGCTGCAGCCAAGGCCAGCAAGAGGCTAGCCCTGGAGCTGCAGCCACATTTACAGCTCTAGCTGTGCTTCAACACCTTCCAGCCACCAACCTCCCAGACCCAGAGGCCCCCAAAGGGAAAGGGATTAAGAGCCGGCCACTGCATACAGTGTGACATTGCCGGCCCACCTACAGCATTCCTGTGCTGGACCCCGCTTGCAGTGTTCCTGTACTAGCCGTTCCAGAGCCGGTCCCGCCAGTGACGACTGTTCCAGAACCGGCAACCCCTGAGCTGGTCACCCCTGAGCCAGCCACCCCAAGGAGGGTATCCCCCCTGGGGAGACCTTTAGCTGAACAACCTCCTTGGGGTTTGCCCACTCTCCGTCCACAGTCTTTTATTATATGTGCCTGTGAGCCAGGCCTTTGGGGGGGGCGGGGTTCAGTCACAAGTGGTAAAGGCTATGTTTCCATCTGGGGTGTTTAGAAGGGGGGGCACTTGCATTTTTCCGGTGGTTTGTTTAGATTCTGGACGACAGGGCACAGTTAGCAATTAATGGATATATTTAATTCATGGGGAGATGTAACCACTTGCTGATTATTATTTGTATATTTAAAGTTACGTGTCATTATAGGCAAGTGTTCTGTTGGTACTAGTTCGCTTTTTTAACGTTTGTTAGAAAGTCGCTTGTATGTACATTTGCATCTATAGTTTCTTCAGTGTCTAGTTTTGTCCCGTTCGTTGTTGTCGTGTTTATTTTCATCTGTCAAATAAATACCACGAACAGTAAACCTGCTTTGCATTTGGCTTCCCTGCACTATAGAGGATTCGTGACACAGGCAGTGACTGGACGCAATAGTTGCCATGTGAAACTCATCACTGCTATCACAGCAGGAACCATAAACACAATGGCCACTTTGCATTGGGAGTGGTAGTGTGGCAAGAGTTCTTTTGGTAAAGGCTTATGCAATGTAAGTTAAATAAAGTACAAACTACAAAATAATTTGGCCTGCCTGAAAACAATTCCCAGGCGACAAACTATATTTTCTTTGATATGAAATTGAAGTTTATACTGTCATAAATATGCTGTGAACATTAGGTAGGCATAAAAGCACAATGGCAAACAAAACAAATACTTTGTGTCTACTTACACAAAACTCCACAATAACTTTTTCCCTTGCATACAAGTTAAAAGCCATACAAAGTTTTTTTTGTAGACGTTGTTGTATTTGGCTGTTGCTATAATTGTATGTTTATATTTCATTTGATTAAATACAGCCTTGATGAAAAAGCCCCAAGTCAGTAGGCTCGGCAAAATGAAAATATAACAGACTAGATCAATTCGATGAACAAGCTTCCATCTCCCTTTCACCTCTAAAATGTGAACATTGTAATTCTGTAGTTTCTGAATGTGATCCTTGTGCATAAAACACATAAACGCCAATACCAACCAATACCAGCATAGTCGACACTCTTAAAAGCGTTAAATATAATGACACGGACTGAACTATCCAAGGGGAAACTGCTTAAAACACTTTGTTAAACATTTTTTTAAATTATTATTTCATAACCTCTCATCAACTATGGCTGAATATGTATAATCCCGTGTGCATGTCAATGGTCTAGACAAATAATCAGATAATTTACCTTGTTCAAACCACCTGTATGATCCAGGTACTCCGTTATATGGCTATTTTATCCTTGAAATATATTCTTCTTCTCCTTTTCTTTTAAGTCCGCTCCTCCATCCTAATCTTATGGTTATAATCAGCAGTGGTGAAAGCAGCGTTTATTAGTAGACCAGGAAGTAGGCTGGTGCGGCGTGTGAGGGGGAACTAGGTCTAGTTGTCATATTAACCATGACACGGCTGTCTTTGGGGGTAAGATTGATAATATCATTAACGCGACTTGCGTTGGAAAAAAACTTTTATGATATAAGTCTTAACCCGTTTAACTTGAAAACAAAATCAAACTTGAAAAATCCTCCACAAAAATGAATATATATTTCGCATACAACGTTCAGATATTTTTTACACGCGGCTTAAACTAATGACTTCAAGAACATTTTCACATTGTCACGTCTGGCTGGTTGGGTGATGGTAAAAAAACGCATTGCCATATTTTTCACTTTTGTTTTTCTTTCTTAGGTGATCTGGACAACACGTTCACTCTAACCACATTCTAATCTTTTATTGCTTTTGGTCCTATACCTCGACCTAATTCCCTACCCCCAGTTCCACTTGCTCTTCCTGTTCTTCTAACCCGTGATCATCTGCCTCTATCTGGAAAGCGGGTCCAGGCTTTTCAACACTCCTCTGCAACTCACAAGTAATCATCCATCTTGTAAATGTTTTCATTTTTTCTGCCATGACATCTTTGTTAATCAGAAAAAACATTATTATTAGACAGTATGGTTAAACTTTAGTACTACTTTCTGAAATCAACAATAACATGAAACCTTTTCATTGCAGATCGGATCACTTTGATATTTAAAGAGATGATTGCAGGTGCCACAACGTACGTGGAATTGTCTAGGTAGTTAGTTGAGGTAGGTAATGTTTAAATGTCATTATGTGACTTTATCTACGGTACTTATAGCAGGTATCGTAACAAGCTAGAATTTGCTGTCATATTAAAAAACCCAACACTTTTCTTTATGACAGTACCCGGCCATTACAGATCAGGAGCGAAGTGATTAAACGACACAAAAAAACAATATATTTGTGAGCAAATGTTTTGCACTAAAACTATACACATCAGACGTGACATGTTTTTTGCAAAATATTTGTGTTCTATTTAATCCCAGTGAAAAAACTGCAGTCAACTTCACGCAAAGATGATGTGATGTTAATTTTGCTTACTGAAACTAAAATGATATCACAGCTGCTTTCACACCTATTTCAGGGTGGCACTGGCACAGTTTCAGGCCCTCCTGGAGATAGCACCACAACAGAAAAGGCACGGGACCAATTTTCAATTATTCAAAATAAAACATTCAACGAACAGATAAAAACATTTACACTGTAATGAAAACAAAGGGGGCTTAATAAAGCG